GCAGCATGGAACAGAGATAGGGAGCAGCCTCGGACAGGAGAGCAAGCTCGAACTGGCGGTCCTCCAGGACGTCACTGCCGAGGGCAGGTGCACCCCCGAGAGACGGAGGACCGGCAGGGTCAGAGACCAGAGCAGTGGCGTAGTCAAGGCGGCGGGTAGAGGCGAAGTCAGCGCCGCAGCAACAAGAGCGTCAAGACACGAGACCGGAACAGACGGGTCGGTAACAAGAGAGGCAAGGACCCGAGGAACGAGAGGACGGGCGGCATGAAGGTAGTCAGACAGAGGGGCGGGAACAACGACAAGGGAGGATGGGGGAGGGGACGGGAGAAGGGGAGGACGAGATGCGTGGGAACGAAGCAACATAGGGTGAGAGCGCATGACAGGGGAGACAGGATGAGCACGGGAGGGACGACGAGACCAGACGTGAGACGGAGGAGCAGGGGCAGACGGCGAGGACTGCGCCGCAGGACCACCAGAGTCAGAAGACACCTCAACCGGGACAACCGACGGGAGAAAAGTGACGTGGGACACACCGGAGGGGGCAGGACGGGGAGGGGGAGGGGGGGGGGGGGGCAGGGACCACCGGAGAAGGAGTGACCAGGAACAGGGGGGGGGTAACCGGGGGACCGCGGTGGGGGAAGCGACGGTGCAGGAGGCACGAACGTGGGCAAGGCAGCCCCAGACGTGGAACGCAGACGCATCACTAGGTGACCCGGTCCAAAGACGGGTCGGCGAAACCTGCGGCTGCTGGGGGTGGGGCCACATGATAAGCTGGTGAGAAACGTAGTGCACGGCGAACGGCTACAGAAAATGGGGTGCACCGGCATGGACCATGGAGGTGCGAGCAACCTCCATGACCAAGCCGATGCGTCGCTCAGCAACCCCATTCTGCTGTGGGGAGTCCGGTAGGGTGAACGTCTGGGTGATGCCCTCCGCACGACAGAAGCGACCAAGGACACCTGAGGCAAACTCGCTACCACGGTCTGAGTGAAGGCGCAAGACAGGGAGACCTCGGTGGACACGCGCACAGACAAGCCAGGGGATGAGAGCGTCAAGCACGTCGGCCTTCCGTTCCAGGGGAAAGACGGTGGTGTAGCGAGTGAAGTCGTCGACAAGCACGAGGAAGTAGCACTCTCGACGCGGCCCATGGACAGGGGCGGGGCCCCAGACGTCCATGTGCAGGGTCTGCAGCGGCGCAGTGGTAGGGGGAAACGAGGAGGAGTGAGGGGCACGGCGAAGCCGACCCTCAACGCAAGGCGTGCAAGGTTGGGCATGGGAGAAGGGGAAAGCGGGGAGAGAACCAGGGAGACCAAGGACGAGACCGTGCTGGGACATGTGACGCACACGCGGGAGCGCAGGGTGACCTAGGCGGTGATGCCAAAGGAGAGTCGGGTGAGTAAGGGACCGACAGGAGCGGGCAATAGCAACCTGGGTAGACGCGGCCACCTGGAGGGGCGCTCCAGCCGGGGGGGTCACGGTGTCCAGGGTGAACAAGCCGGACACCGGGTCCCGGGGGAACGTGGACAGGGGGGCACCTGTGGCGGCCTCGGTACAGACAGCAGCATACTGCTCGTGGCCAGGGAACGTAGTGGTGACGCCAAGGTCCTGGAGGCAGCCGACACCAACTAGGTTCCTGGAGAACGAGGGGATATTCAGACCTGTGAGAGAGCCCGAAGGAACCACCGGACAGGTGTCACAGGATGGAATGTGTCGAAGAAAGGTTGCACTATCGATCAGTACAAGGTGTTTTTATCCTTCCAAAGTACATCAGGTAACCAGGTTTATCTTATCCTAAGGGAATAGACCCTTCTAGAAGATAGAATCACCCTGCGTATAGCCACGCGAGGCTATTGGCTTTAAGGGATTACGGCAGGATTACGCCAGATAGCGCACCAGTACATCCCAAGCCTGGTCGATGATATAATTATAATAGCAGGATAAACCAAAGGTTAATGGAAAATGGAGAATAGGAAACCAAATGATATAAGATAAAAAGAGAAATGAAAGAGGAAGGAAATAAGAAAAGGGACAAGTGGTGTAACGGGGTCGTACTCTCACAACAGGGAAGGGTGGTGGAACTGCGGGCGACTACCGGACCGCCGGAGGGGTCAGCAAGAGAAACGACAGCAGGAACTGGAAGCGACGTCAATGCAGTGAAGTCGCGGAAGAAGCACCGGGAAGCGCCAGAGTCCAAGGTGAAAGAAAGCGAAGTAGTGGCGTCTGACGACGGGGCGACGGCGGAAGCACCAAGGCTAAACAAAGCAGGGGCTCCTACGCCTGATGCAGCAGGGGAGGCTAAGCTAGACACACCTACACCAGACGACAATGAGTAATCAGCGGGAAGCACACTAGAGTCATCAGCATACCTCACATGCAGAGCAGAAACAATGGCATCCATGTCCATGTAAAAAATCTGAATACTACGACTAAGCAAACTATGCCAGTCCGGGAGGTCAGGCGACGGGCCGAAGCGCTGACGAAACAGGTCGTCCAGGCGACGAAAACAACGAGGAGTGGTATGACCGATCTTACCGCAAACGAAGCCGCGGCGAGGACCGGTCTGGATCTGGTACTAGCAACGCACGCCTCCCGAACCACCACTTGGCACACCACTACGCGCACGACCACCTCCAGCGCCAGGCCACCCGGGCGGGAGGACACTCGCCTGCCTCGTCTGCGGCGGCTGCTGCGGCTGCTGTGGCTGCTGCGACTGCGGAGGCGGCTGCGCAGCTGGATCGGGCAGGGTCCCCTCGTCCGCTCCAGCACCAGACGACCCGACTCCACCACCACCCCCACCGGCACCCCCACCTCCATTGCCGCGCCCAGCCTTGGGGCGGCGGCCCTTCCCCGGACGGGTTTGTGTGGCAGCAGCTGGCTCAGCCACAGCGGCAGAACCGTCGGAGAAGGTACACTGAGCGGGGGCACAACCCTGAAAGAGAGGGACCGGCACAGTACCGCTCGCCTGGGCGATGGAGCGGTGGTGGGTCTCAATAACAGTCAGGGTGTCTACAAAGTCGGTGAGGGTGAGCTCACCGGGGTGGATGCTAAGGAAGCGATCGCGGGCGGCGGCAAGGCGGTCAGGGAGGCGGGTGGCAAGCAGGTAGTGGGTAGAGGTAATGGGCGGCTGGTGGGCTCTAAGCTGTGCGTCAGTGCAGGCCGCTCTCCAGGTCTCATATATCGTGCACAGGTGGGCAGCCAGGTCAGCGACAGTGGGGAAGGACGCAAGGTCAGGAAAGAGCATCGGGAGGATCAGGCGACCCACCGAGGCAGCAGGAGGGGTGGAATAGCGCTTGATGACGGAATCTAAGAAAGCCTGGGCGGTAGTGATGGACCTAAAGCAAGGGCGCTCAGGCGGGGGAAGGGCATTGCTAATGGCAAGCTGGGCGATAGACAGAGCGCGCAAGGGCAGCGGCTGTAGTAGACTCGCGCTCAGCACGTGTGGGTTCAGCAGGCAGCACAGCAGGGGGGTCTGGGCAGGGGAGCGTACCGTCAAGGTGTGCGGAAAGCTGGTGGCCATCCTGCCGCTGGCCAGTGAGGTGGCGACGGAGGTCGGCGAGCCACGCCTCGAACTCCAGAGGCTGGCCTTCAGTGTCGAAGCGAAGCTCTGCCGCCATCAGTAGCAGTGCAGGACTGTGCAGTGCGATACAAGGCAGTGCGGTGAAGTGCGTTGAGCGCGGTGCAGTGCGGTGCAGGGTGGTGCAGTGCGGTACCGTGCGGTGCAGTGCGGTGTAGGGCGGTGCAGTGCGGTACCGTGCGGTGCAATGCGGTGCAGCGCTGTGCAGCGCGGGGCAGTGCGATACAGTGCGGTACACGTGATGGGGAACTGTTCCAGGGAGGGTGCAGGTCCGGAGCAGGCACGACGAGCTGGCCGCACACAGCTCGGGGCAGGACGGGCGCGGGGGCCAGTTGAGACGGCCGCGGGGCCGGCTGGGACGGGTGCAAGGTCGGCTGGGACGGGCGCGGGGCAGGCTGGGACGGGCGCGGGCCTGCTGGGACGGGCGCGGGTCGGCTGGGACGGGCGCTGGGCCGGCTGGGACGGGCGCAGGTCGGCTGGGACGGGCGCGGGTCGGCTGGGATTGGCGTGGGCCCGCTGGGACGTGCGCAGGTCGGCTAGGACAAGCGCAAGCCGGCTGGCACGGGCGCGGGGCGGCTGGGACGGGCGCAGGGGCCGAGTGGTAGGGCGGGGGCCGCTAGGGCGGGCGCTGGGGCGGGCACGAGGGGCCGCTAGGGCAAGCGCGGGGGAAGCTAGGGCGGGCGCGAGGGCGGGCACGAGGGGCCGCTAGGGCGAGCGCGGGGAGGCCGCTAGGGCGGGCTCTAGGGCAGGCACGATGGGCCGCTAGGGCGGGGCGCTAGGGCGGGCACGAGGGGCCGGCTAGGATGGGTGCTAGGGCGGGCACGGGCGAAGGGGCCGCGAGGGCGGGAACGAGGGGCCGCTAGGGCGAGCGCGGGGAGGCCGCTAGGGCGGGCGCTAGGGCGGGCACGAGGGGCCGCTAGGGCGAGCGCGGGGAGGACGCTAGGGCGGGCGCTAGGGCGGGCATGAGGGGCCGCTAGGGCGGGGCGCTAGGGCGGGCACGAGGCCGGCTAGGACGGGCGCGAGGGCCGAGGGGAGGTGGCGCGCAGGGCGCGACTGGGGCGCGCGCGGCTAGGGCGGGCGCAACTAGGGGGGGGAGGGTAGGTCCTAGAGCGGAAGTGTGGGTGGGCGGGGACCTACCTACTGCTGATACCATCTCAAAACGGAATGAATAATGAATAAGAGAGAGAGAGCATAGGTGAATATATCTAAGTGTTGTACCCTCTAAGACGTGACCCTATACAGTCTATGCAAACATAAGAGATACACATGTTTGACAGTTATGGCCTCAGAGTGCTTGTTACAACCCAAATTCATTTTGCATTTTACATAAGACATGTGCGTTATATTTTTCCAGCCTACTGTTAACACCCATACGTTTTTTTAATGAAATTTTGACAATCCCCTAGGGTGTTATATACGGGGGAATACGGTAGTCTAATTTCCTAGCCTAGCTAGAACTCTGGCACATCCACAGCGACGACATCCTCCGCCTCATCATCCGACAGAAAGGGGTTGTCTTCTATAGCTACTGCAAGTCCACCATCCCTCTCCCCCTCCTCCTCCTCCTCCTCCTCCTCCTCCTCCTCCTCCTCCTCCTCCTCCTCCTCCTCCTCCTCCTCCTCCTCCTCCTCCTCCTCCTCCTCCTCCTCCTCCTCCTCCTCCTCCTCCTCCTCCTCCTCCTCATCCCAATCCTCTCCTAAGTAGTCTAGCACTGGAGAATCCTGCTCTGCCTCTTCCAGCAGAGCCTTGCCTTTGCGCTTCCTCTCTTGAGATGCGAATATCAGAAAGAAAATGATTCAATTAGAATGTGTGTGTACAAGGATATATAGACTAGGGTGTTGTACCCTCTAAGGCACAATCCAGTATAGTCTACTATAACAACCTAAGTTACATTTGACACACCCCCTAGACTATATAGGGGCAGTACCTAACAAGGGACGAAGCAGATCAGGGTGGCACTACTAGTCCAGCCTCTGAGACAAGGGTCTAAAGACCAGTCGAAAGGAGTACAGACAAGGCAAAAGCAAGCTCAGGGCGGCGCTACTAGTCCAGCCACTGGGAGAGGCCACAAGGCAAGTCTGGGTAAAATATATATATGAAGGACAGTACAAAGTCAAGGCCCTAGAAAGTGAGAGGCTACAGGAACGAGACCTAGCTGTACACAATGCCGCTGATGATCTTTAGGCGCAAGCGCCTTCGTAAAGATATCAGCTCTGTTGGCACCGGAGGCCAAGTGTACTACGCGCGCCTGGCGACGCTGCTGCAGCTCACGCAGGAGGAAGTACCGCAGCTGAATGTGCTTCGCTCTGCCCTCGAGTCGAGGCTCCTGGCACGGAGCTCCTGTGCCGCCATGGCACCGGCGTAGATCTCGGCCTCACAGCAGGACTGGGCAACAGACGAGGAGTGGGTAGCTCTCCACGAGACGGCACCTGAACCAAGGCTGAAGCAGTAGCCCTGTGAGGACCTGAGGGTCTCGGCGTCGTCTGCCCAAGAAGCGTCTATGTGTCCATTAAGGACCACTGGCCTACGTCCTCCTAGTACTAACCCCATGCCCGATGTACTTGCAAGATAACGCAAAACCCTCTTAGCGGCAGACTAGTGCTGAGGTCGGTGTCTGCCTGTAGCCACAAAGCGAGCCAGGATGTTGAGAGGGCATGCGAGATCTGGGCGCGTACAAGTCATCAGGTACATGAGGCAACCCACCAGCTCTGCGTAAGGACCACAGGGCTCTGCTGACTCCTCAGGAACTGGAGCCGAGAGCCTGTGGTTTAGAGGCAGAGGAGTGGGATGTGCGGAGGAGAACTGAAGGCCGAACCTCTGAAGGACCTGGCGCACCAAGTGTGACTGAGTCAAAGTGATGGTGCACGCTGCTTTGTCCTTGGAGATCTGCAAGCCAAGGTAGTGGCGTAGTTTTCCAAGGTCAGTGCAAGTGAGTCTTTTCAGCAGCTCTGCCTTCACGAAAGCGAGTGCGTCCCTGTCTGCTGTGCCGAAGACCAGGTCGTCTACGTAAACAAGGATGTAGAATGGGGTCTGGCAAGCACGAACGAAGAGCGAGGGGTCTGCAGAGGATGAAAAGAACTGCAGGTCAGCAAGCGTAGCACACAGCGTGTCGTGCCACTCACGGGGAGCCTGCCGCAGGCCGTAGACGGGGTGCCGGAGGAGCCACTGGGTCCCAGGAGGGAAGGTACCAGTGAAGCCCTGAGGGCGGCGCAGGTAGACCTGCTCGTGAAGACTGCCTTGAAGAAACGCAGTGGAGATGTCGAGAGAGTGAAGTCATCGTCACGCTGCGCTGCTAAGTATAGTAGCACCCGAAGAGTAGTCATCGTCGGGGTCGAAGAAGTCCACCCCCTCATGCTGACTGAAACCTCTAGCCACGTAGCGCGCCTTGAATACAGGCGGCTCTCTACGAGGACGCTTCACCTTGAAGAGCCAGCGGCCATCAACTACGTTCACCCCAGGTGGGGGAACTGCGTCGACGTAGGTGCCGGTGGATCTCCAAGATGCCATCTCCTGCTCCATGGGAGCTATCCACTGAGAGGCCCAGGGCCCCGAGACCGCCTCAGCGTAAGTGCGAGGGGTCGGGATATCGAAAGCGTCAGGGTCACCCTTAGGGACTGGAAGCATGGAACAGAGATGGGGGGCAGCCTCGGACAGGAAAGCAAGCTCGTACTGGCGCTCCTCCAGGACGTCACTGCCAAGGGCAAGAGCACCCCCGATAGACGGAGGACAGGCAGGGTCAGAGACCAGAGCGGTGGTGTAGTCAAGGCGGCGGGTAGAGGCGAAGTCAGCGACCGCAGTGACAAGGGCGTCAAGGCTCGAAACTGGAACAGACGGGTCGGTAACGAGAGAGGCAAGGACCCGAGGAACAAGAGGACGAGTGGCACGCAGGTAGTCAGACAGAGGGGGGGAAGCAACGACAAGGGAGGACGGAGGGGGCGACGGGAGAAGGGGAGGACGAGACGTGTGGAAACGAAGCAACATAGGGTGAGAGCGTGAGACAGGGGAGACAGGTCGAGCACCGGAGGGACGGCGAGACCAGACGTGAGACGGGGGAGTCGGGTCAGGAGACAGAGGAGGGGACACAAGAGGGGAACAAGGGGGGAAACGGGCCGGAGATGCGTCTGGAGGAGGGAACACAGGGCCGGAGACAAGAGGAGGAGGAGGCACGGGCACGTGGTCAGGGGACGGAAGGCCGAGCAGGCGAAGAGCGGACACCGGCGGGGACTGCTGTGACGGCGGTGTGACGCCGACACCGGAACCGCAAGCTACCGGGCGGCTACCTCGAGAACACTCCAGACCAGCACCCCCAGAAGAAACACCCCCAGAGCTCAGAACCCCTCGAGCACTGGTTCCACCCCCAGTGTGAGAGTACGACCCCGTTACACCACTTGTCCCTTTTCTTATTTCCTTCCTCGTTCATTTCTCTTTATCTCATCTCATTTGGTTTCCTATTCTCCATTAACCTTTGGTTTATCCTGCTATTATAATTATATCACCGACCAGGCTTGGGATGTACAAGTGCGTAATCCTGCCGTAATCCCTTAAAGCCAATAGCCTCGCGTGGCTATACGCAGGGTGATTCTATCTTCTAGAAGGGTCTATTCCCTTAGGATAAGATAAACCTGGTTACCTGATGTACTTTGGCAGTAGAAAAGCGCCTTGTACTGATCGATAGTGCAACCTTTCCTCGACACATTCGATCCTGTGACACTTGGTAATCAGAGCTTTTCTCACTCGACCGCGCTCAGCTAAGCAGCAGCAGCGGGGATCCTGCCTCGAAAAACCGCCGGGGGCGACCAATTCGACGCCGATTCTGGTAAGCACCAGCTCCGCGATTTTCGAATTGCCCCCTCCGTGCGTGTTTTGAACATGATGGCAACCTTCGACAACGCCGAGGTTACCCAGCAGCTCTTCGCGCGCATCGCAGCCCTTCAGGAGGAAATGCGAGCGGATCGCGAAGCGTGGCGAAACCAGTTCGAGCGAGTAACTCGACTCGCCGGAGCGCAGCACGAGACGACAACGGCGACGACGCAGCAGTCGCAGCAGTTTCTCGAGGCTCCGAAACCGCGCCCACCTGAGCCGTTCGATCCGAGCGATCGAAACTCCGACGCCCGCAGATGGATCGCCGGGATGGAGATCTACTTCGCAGCCATCGGTTGGAGCTCGCCAGTATGGGACGGACAACGTGTACGACTCGCGGCGACACTGATGCGAGGGCCGGCACTCGAGTGGATTGGCGGCAATAGTACTTTCATCCACGGTGAAGCCACGTGGCAGCAGTTCCGCACCGACCTGCTGAAACGCTTCGAGCCGATAAATTCCAGTTTCCTTGCCCGGGAAAAAATTCATCGACACCGACAGTTCGGGAGTGTAGCGCAGTATACGCAGCAGATGGAGGAATTTTATAACCGCATTCCCGACCTGACCGAAGGGGAAAAAGTACAATCGTACCTCGCCGGGCTGAAGACCGAAGTCAAACGACAAGTCGCAGCGTCAAACTACGCGAGCTACAGTGACGTCGTTTCGGCAGCGGAGTGCTTCGACATGGTCAACGCCGGAACACGACGGGCGCACGTCGGCAGTACGCGACAGGGCGACCGCTCGGCTCACCCCACGTTCGCCGACCCGATGGAAGTCGACAGATTCGAGGGGCGGCCACGTCCGAAAAACACCAACTACACGTGTGATTTTTGCGGGGTGCCGGGTCATCGAATCTTCGACTGCAGCAAAATGAAGACCGCACGCGCAAAGTATCGGGCACGCAATAGTGGCGGAATTCCTCCAGCCAATCAGAAGTAAAAAAATGGGAGTCGCTAGTGATTGCGGATCTAGCTGGCGAAAATGAAAAGATCCGAAAACGGCCGCGAGATTCCGGAAAAATCAACTTCGACGAAGCTGATTCGATGCGAGAAGGAGGAAATGATGGAGGAAAATCTCCACCCCACGACCAGTCCTCGCCAGGGAAAATCGCCGAGGAAAAATACGACTCCGCGAAAAAAGACTCTGCCGAGACAGGGAAACTCCTTGAAGACCCAAGAAATTATAAGGATTCGTTAAAGTTATCTTATAAAGATGCTTTAATGAAAACTTATGAATTTCGAGGGGCTAGAGCCTTGGAGAAATTTCGGGAGGGACTCCAAAAGAAGCAGACAACTGTGGAGATTATACCGGTACCGGACAACCTGGGGACCAAATTAAGGAGTGTGGAAAGAAGCCGGCCTTTCCACGGAGTCAACATCCTCTCCCGACACCAGCCCACAACGACTACCCGTTCCCCAGGGAAGACGTCGGTGGAGCTGAAGCAGCTCAAGAGGAAGCTGGGGGTCTACAAGAAGCTGCACAAACCCCGAATTCCTTCTCCTACGGATGCATCCAGTTCTTCGGCATCAGTGACGCGCACAGTCATCAAAGAAACTCCGGGCCCTGGAGAAGAGCCGTTCTCCAAGTAGCCTCGGCCAGCTGCCAGCTTAGGAGTAGACAGCAACACAAAGGTGTGTACGGAATATTGGGATGTACCCTATGACCCAATCAATGAAACTATCTTTGGGTACTCCGAGCAACGACTGCCCCTCGTGCTCGAGGTCATCTGCAAAGGACGACGCCTCCAAGCACTCGTGGACAGCGGAGCATCACACACCATCTGCGACAAGGCAGTAATCGACCGGCTTCGGGAAGAGTACAAGCCTTCAGGATTCTCTGCAACGATGGTGGACGGCAGCAAGTTGCCAGTACACGGCGAAGCAGTGCTACACCTACAAATTGGACCACTGCGCTGGAGACCTGCACTCCCCATCACCAACATCAAAGGGCTTGACTTGATCTTCGAGCGAGACTTCCTGAAAAGATTCAACCCCGAGATCAACTGGGTGAACCGCACCGCAAGCATCTACAACAATGGACGGAGAGTACAGCTACCCAACTGGGACGATACAGGAGATATCCCAGTGGAGACACTCGCACGATTCGAGAAGGACTTGAAGCGGACTGACACCGGGTTCCTGGCGAAAGCAACAGAGGTGGAGAATGACGGAGAGAAAGCCTCGGAAACTCCAAAAAAAATCAAGGAATTACTGAAGGAGTTCCAAGACATTCTTCCTGCTGATCTTCCGAACGAGCTACCGCCATACCGAACGCATCAACACGAGATCATGGAGGAACCGGGTTCGAAGCCGACCTTCCGAGCACCATACCGGCTCAGCCCTACGGAGCTGACTGACATGAAAAAACAGATCGAGTATCTCCTAGCCAAAGGACTCATCCGGCCATCCACTTCGCCATACGGTGCCCCAGTTCTCTTCACACCGAAACCGGACAGAAGCCTGCGCATGTGCATCGACTACCGAGCTCTTAACAAGCAGACCATCAAGAATAAATACCCGATACCGCGAATCGATGACCTGCTTGACCAGCTTCGGGGAGCTACGGTATTTTCCAAACTGGATCTGCGGTCCGGATACTGGCAGATACGGATGGCGGACAACTCTATCCACAAAACAGCTTTTCGAACTCGGTACGGATCGTACGAGTATTTGGTAATGCTGTTCGGACTCACCAACACGCCGGCAACGTTCCAAGCCGAAATGAACCACATTCTACGACCACTTCTGGACGAATGCGTGGTGGTGTACCTGGACGACATACTCATCTACTCGCGCGACATGAAGCAGCACTTCGAACACCTGCGACGCGTC